TGCGTTGGCAAGCCGATCCTCTGCTGCGCTGGCAGATTTCGCCCTTGTTAGGTGTTGCTTGCCATTCTAGTCCTTTTTGTTCTGCATGCCTCAATTGTACTATCAACTTTTCAATGCAAATTGTTCTTTCAACTTCCTTAGTGGAAACTCTTGCCAAATTTCTCTGTGAACACAAGCAAGAAGTAAGAACGTTAGTGCAAGCTACGATCACTCGCACAACCCCGTGCCCTACACCGTAGTCCACTCCCGTTATGTAGTGACTCTCCGCATGGGGTTTGCGGTTGTAGTACTCTGTGCGATGGTTCTCCACCCCCCTAACATGAATATGGGTCCCATCCACAGCGCCAACAACGTCTGGCAGTCCATTGATAGTCTGGAACTCAGCAGCCTTGCGAGGAAGGTCCTGAGGTGTAGGAAACCACACCCGCTCGACTTTAAACTCCCTCGAAAAATGCACCAGGAGCGTGTCAACGAGTTTGTGGCAAAGGGTTTTAGAAACACCAAAGAATTGGACATGTCAACGTATGACATAGCTGTTGCAAATTACTTGACAGGGATTATAATACATAGGCATAGAGGGATTTTGTGATTGAGCATTGAAGGGGTGAAAGCACTTTCCATGCCTCCTTCCATCAGAACCATGATAGCCTTGTTGATGCGAAAGATGTTCTGAAACTCATGGTCCGACACTAGAGTAATCTCGGAAATCCATTCGTCCGTACGCTCTCTTTTTTCGACTAGCTGTCCTTTTTCGACTATCTGTCCTCTCCTTACGACGTGCATCGATTCCCGCACTCTCTGCTCGTTCCAGATCCAACAGATCGAGCCATGACTGAGCTGCAGTTGCTGCTGCTGGTAGGAGACTGTCTTGGTATAATGTATGCCATAGCTGGATCAGACACTCAAGGACTATGAGTTGCTGAGGAGTGGGCATATTTACGAAATATCTAGAACATTTGGTAATACATTGTGTCTCTAGTGGGCTATGTTTTATACGTTTTGTGTTCTGGAAACACTGGGGAAAGTCTTCCAGTCTCAGTTTGTATGACCTGTTGTTATCGAGTTGGTGGACGCTTACAGGGCTTGGGCTTGGGCTTGGGCTTCAAATTGGGGCGGAACAGTCGACCGTAGGATTTAAACCCGGAGCTGCCCAAGCGGCTAAGCGAACAAGCCGAACCGTGAGTGAAAGAGAAGAGCTAAAAGCATCGAATTTATTGTTCAACGTCTTTTATTACGGGTTCTGCCCGCCGTCTACTCCAACGCGCGCGTCACGTTCGTCTGGAAGTACAATTCGCCGTCTTAAATCGTGAGTAAAAAACAACTTGTTATATATCACCCACCCGATCGGAAACGCGCAGAAAAAAAAATATAACCCGTTCGGAAACGGATGCGACTCGGGAGGCATCAACCTTAAACACCAGGAAGGTTCCCGTTTTTAGGGTTGATCCATTCGTGCAAACGCATCCAGGTTCCCTAGGGGTTTTAGTTTGTTTTTTTCTGGCAGCCCAAGAGTTCCCGGTAGGGTCGGCTCGCTACACGACGCTACCGGGTGGAAAGTCATGAATCATTAACGATTTTCAGGAAAATGACGCGTGAGCGAAAACGCGAGCCGTTACAAGCCACTAGTAACAGAAATACGTGCAATAAATGATGACCTTTGTTAATCCCTCCTCGCGCAGCGGTTTGGTTAGTTCCGGGCTTCTCCACCCCTGGTTGGTCACCCCTCTGGCACTGTTCCGCCCCAATAAGATATTTTCCCCGTGCAAATTGGGTTGGGCGCTGACGGCCCAGTATCTGTGCACGATTGATGGCCCAATGTCACGCGGTTTGACAATTTCGCACGTCCACTGCACGTCTCGATCGTAGGGACAGCGTGATTTCGAACAGCCCTCGCTCAGTTGCCATACGACCACCCAAATGTAACGCGTCAGATGACACGAAGCCGAATCGAAAAACCCGCGGCTTGTCCAAAAAAAAGAAATCGGATGACACGAAGTGCGGATGACACGAAGCCATGATTGCTCCCTAAACGAATCTTCAACACACAAGTCCGAGACTCGGTTTGGTTTGGTTATATACGGTTCGAAACAACTCACCGAACATAACCGTCTCATGTAACAAACGAATTCGCATGACATTTCGCTGTTCACTCAACATCGATGGATAATGACTGTCATTGGTGGAGGGAGTGGGAGATTGCATTATTACGTCTCCAAATTCCCGTGTGAGGAGTTGCTTAGGGCGCGTGAATTTTTGGTGTATTTGTCCGAAATAGACCCCTGGTTTGAACTGTTCATTCGAACGTGGTTCGAGCTGGCTTCTATCGAGTGGTTCGAGCCAAACCCGAATCTGTCACTGATTGTGTGAACACACGCGTAAATTGTCCTGCAAGTTCGACTTTGAGCAGTCGAACTGCAGGTGTTGCCCGAAAGAGGGTGTTTTGCTGCATGCGCGTTCGGGATTTCGCCCGTGACTAGTACGACGTATTCGAAACCAGTTACCACCTAAAGTTTGACTTCACGGAGCAAACCCGAACTACAGTTTACACGCCCTTATTGTCAGAATATTATGCTCTAGCCTGTAGTGGGGTGCTCTATAGCGAGTACAACCCTTCTAGGGTTTGCTATTTGTATCATCATTCTTGCTAGTGCAACTCCTCCCTTCTTTGCCTAAACTGTTTCTTGCCTAGCTAGGGCTTTCCTAGCTATGGCGCCTTCTTCTACTGCTTATCTTCACATGGTATTAGAGCGATATGCTCCTGGCCTGTGGGCCCCACCTCACTGCTTCCGCTGCTACTGCTACTCCCTGTCCGCCGCGCGCCCCGTGGTGCGCGGCGTCGAAATTAGGGTTTTTCAGCCCGCCGTGCGCCCCGAGGCGCGCGGCGGTTTTCTGCCCGCCGTGCGCCCCGAGGCGCGCGGCGGTTTTCTGCCCGCCGTGCGCCCCGAGGCGCGCGACGGGTTTCTGCCCCGTCACTCGGCGCGTCGCCCCCAGGAGGCGCTACGACGGGCGACGGGGACCCGCGCGTCGCCCCCCGTCGCCCGTCGTGGCCTGCGCGCGGCCCGTACAGCCGGCGCGCGGCCCGTACGGGCTGCGCCAGGCCCGCGCGCGGCCCGTACGGGCTGCGCCAGGCCCGCGCGCGGCTCGGGCCGCCTGCGCGCGGTTCGGGAGGCTGTGCCAGGCCCGTGGGCGGCCCGTTCTTCGCTGCCCCTGTCCTCCCCGCTGTCCCCCGTGCTTCTGAAGGCGCCCCACCCCTCCTTCTGCCCGTTCTCCTGGATTAGGGTTTGGGGGTGGGGAGTATGGGGGTGCAGCTTCTGTGTGCCGTTCCCTGCTCCTCCTCCTCCTCCGTCTCCCTGTGCTGCAGCTGCCGCTGAGGGGGGGTGGACCTGTTGGAGCCGTCGGAGTGGTACTAAGGGAGGGTGAAGGGGGAGTGGAGCTAGGGGTGAAGCAGGGGGTGTGTGTCAGGGGGGGTGGTACTGTTTGGGGGAGGTTGAACGGAGGTTGCCGTCGTGTCGCCAGCAGCACCTGTAGTCCGGGGAGTTGCTCCGGTAGCCCAGTCGTAGCCACCTGTGCCAGTCGCCCGTGGGTCCGTTGCTCGTCTGCCGCTACTTTTAGCCGCGGGGCCAGTTACTCCAGTAGTCCGGAGCGCTGTTCCGGTAGCCGCTGTGCCAGTGTGCCTCCTGTTGCCCGTGTGTCTGCAGCTTCAGCCGTCGCCTCCTATCTCCTCTCCTCTCACTGTCCCTCCTCCTCCTCACTTGCCCGTTGTGACTACCACTAGCTTTGCTCATAATTGCGAACTTTAAACTATTGCTTCCTGAACTTGTGCTCAGAATGTGTGGTGACATTGTGATCCACCCTGAGCTTGTTCTGCTTTGCTTGCTCTGCTGATTACACCCCACTTTGGCTATGGGGGTGTGTCAGAATATTATGCTCTAGCCTGTAGTGGGGTGCTCTATAGCGAGTACAACCCTTCTAGGGTTTGCTATTTGTATCCTCATTCTTGCTAGTGCAACTCCTCCCTTCTTTGCCTAAACTGTTTCTTGCCTAGCTAGGGCTTTCCTAGCTATGGCGCCTTCTTCTACTGCTTATCTTCACACTTATCTCCTAAGCCCACGCCAGATTATTGCTTTTCTCCTAGGCCAGCGTTGAGGCACTGCCATTCCAGTCAGCGAGGGGTGCGAATTACGCGTACAGACATCCCTGACTGGTTGACGACGAGCCATTCACCTTACTGGTCGGCTCGTCCTCGCACTTCTTGTTAGGCTTGAATTCCCGTACACATATAAAAACGATTTTGCGTGACATTCCCCTGTGCACACCATGGATATGTACCCTCGGGTGGAGCGATTGGCGGGAGGATTGCATTATCGCAACTCCAGATTCAAGCGGATTATGCGCGTAATTGAATTATTGCCTCCTATAACGCGAATGAATTATTGCTATGCGCGAGGTGTGAATTATCCGTACTAGTCAACGATTGGCTGACGAGATCCATCTACTGGACGGTTCCTCCTCCATCCCAAAACATTGTGGCGACTCGACAAAGTAGCCACTTCAAATCTACATACACCATCTATTGCATGGGCAAAGTTGGAGTAACCTATGTATGTACAGGTTTTTTTACAAACCCTGTACTCCCACTGCAACAAGAGAGTCGCCACATTGCAGGTGCTCGCCTCACACCTCACCTCGCGAGAGTTGTGACAGTGTACATGTACAGTAGGTACTGCAGTGCGCTGTTACATCAAACACCATGGTCACGCCTATAAACATTCATTGTACGACTCAAAATGTTGCTCCTATGTAATTACTATGTAGATACTGCATTCTAACGGATCTCAAGAATGTATCCGCAACCATTGTAGGATTAGCTGGGTAAAAGTTACACAAGTAACCAGGTATTCATATGCAGATCCACGTTGTATTCATTTGTTTAATATAATAATAAAATGATACAAATACAAAACAGGCCAGGAAAGACTAGCTAAAAACGCTTCATACGTATGGCCCAACTAGGTAAGCGATCCTGGCAGCAACAAGCGCATAGGCCATCCCTGTAAACCAAGATTCCACATTTTAGGGTTCTAGAACGTTCTCGATTGGCTCCGTCAGCAGAGCACGCACACAGTAGCCAGTACCAAAGCGAGACATTCTTCCTAGTTCACATTTGGTAGGTTCTGCAAGCATGGTCCGTTCAAGGTACCCCGAATAGCATGTCTTTTCGTTGCAGGGACTGTACACACACCACGGACGAGGACATGAAGTCCCTACTGCATGGTTCGCAACACCCAACCCCTCGAAAACATTTTTGGGATGTCGCGCATCCTCGTACTATGCTTGAAATCCCGTATACATAAACTCCGCATCATCCATGGAGCAAACTCAGAGCTTTACAGACTACCAGCCGCCTTCTCTACCACCTCTTGAAGTCGATTTCGTCACCATGCCGCTCTTGGGATTCCTCTTTGTCCTGGCCTTGTCTTGCGGGCTGCGAGGCAGCGAAGGAGCTCGGCCCGGGGACTGGCTGTCTTCAGCCGAGCACGTGCAGCCTCGACATGAGAGCGATCGACGTAAGACGCCGCGTTCACATGCGGCACAAGTGAGATAAGTGTACGAATATCATCGCTCAGAGTGTGCGAGGAGATGAGGACTAGCAGATGGTCCCGCTTCTCCTCCCACGATGATCACCAGCTATCGCCTTTCCGCCACCTCTAGCTTTCCTTTCTCTGTTATAATGGCCAGGAACCAGCTGTACAGTACTAACGCCTCCCTCTTCTGTTGCTCCTTCCAAGTGCTCAACCTCACGCAGATTCCACCCGCTTTCCGCTTACTAGATTTCTCCCTATTACGCCGGCGCCTCCGCCTTCTGTTTGCTCCTTTCCGCTCTGTTTTTTTTCTTTGGGTATTGAATCTTTAAACTCATGCCTCGAAACTTCTCCCAATCCTTTCCCCGATTTATCCCTTACAGGCGGACTCGTAGACCAAGCTTCATTCACCGGGCCGCACTCGGTTCCTGCGACTGGTGACTCTGGCAATCCGCGCTCTCGCTTGCAAGTACGACAAGACACTCCAGTGCAGCGAGAACTGCACCAGCAGGCGCAACAAGATGAGGCACTTTCTGAAGAGAAGCCCGCCGCAGAGCAGCTGGAGGCGTCAAGCCTTGCGAGGCACTTCGTGAAGAGAGAGCTGGCGGTTCAGGGAGCGAAGCCCCAGGAGGCGCTGACGGAGGAGCAGCCTGCAGAGCAGCTGGAGGCGTCAAGCCTTGCGAGGCACTTCGTGAAGAGAGAGCTGGCGGTTCAGGGAGCGAAGCCCCAGGAGGCGCTGACGGAGGAGCAGCCTGCAGAGCAGCTGGAGGCGTCTGACCTTGCGCCGAGGCACTTCGTGGAGAGAGAGCTGGCGGTTCAGGGGGCGAAGCCCCAGGAGGCGCTGACGGAGGAGCAGAAGCTGCGGAAGAAGCAGCAGCTGGCGAAGCTGAAGAAGCGGCTGGAAGGAGAAGGCGGCGCTGAAGCAGTGGCAGGGGATGACGGAGGAGCAGCGGCTGGCGATGCAGCAGGGAGTTATCGAGAAGCGGCAGGAACAGGCGGAGCAGAAGCGGCAGGAGCATCTGACGAAGCAGCAACAGGTGAAGGAGAAAAACCGGCTGAAGATGCAGAGGCTGAAGGATAAGCAGCAGGGACACGAGGATCCGGAGCCGGAGAAGCAGGAGAACAAGAATGAGAATGCAGCGCAGGAGAGTTCGAAGAAGGAAAGTCCGGAGCCGAACGGGCAATCCGAGGCGGATACGAGTAATTTTGACGCGGAGGGGCAGTATCAGCAGTGGGGGGATCGCGATGCGTGGTATTACAGCTTGTGGTTGGATCAGCAGGAACAGGAGAGGCAGGAACAGGCGAGGCAGGAACAGGAGAGGCAGGAACAGGAAAGGCAGGATGGGCTGGCGGATCAGGCGAATGCGGCGAATCAGGAACCCACGAATGCGGAGCAGGGGAATGGGGAAGCGGGAAATGCGGGAGAAGAGGATTGGGAGTATAATGTTTGGCTGGATCAGCAGAATCAGCTGCGGTTGGAGGCGGACTATGAGGAGCGGCTGAGGAACCAAGTGGAGTATGATCAGATGATTTGGAATCAGGATCAGGCGGCGATTCAGCAGGGTATTTTAGACGATTTGGCGTTTGACCAGGCACGGGAAAAGGAGGCGCAGGAAAAGGAGGCGCAGGAAAAGGAGGCGCAGGAAAAGGAGGCGCAGGAAAAGGAGGCGCAGGAAAAAGTGGCGCAGGAAAACACCGCGCAGACGGATCAGCAGCAGAACCCTTGAAAGGGATTTTTATTCGGGCAAGAAGCAAGAGCAGGAGTTGTTGGAACAGGCGAATTGGAACAGGTATGGAACATACGTCGCTGTGCTGGCTGGGGTATCAAGAGAAGCACATGAGAAGTCCTGGTTTTGTTTGTAAGTGTGCACTTCGCTTGTTTGTACTCTGCTGCTATGGAGAGTAAGATGTATTTCTAGTTGCTAGTTTCATTGCCACATTTAAAGGATACACCAAGGAGCAGGATAAGAAGGAATGGAAGGCAGGAGGCAATACCTAGTGAGTACCGTATCCTACCTGGGTGGCACTGGTTTGATGGCTCTACATGAGCAGAGAAGGTTGGCAGGTTTCTGGTTTTGGAATTGATGATGCTTCAGATCAGATTACCATTCCAATCCACAGCCAATCTGAGGGCCTGCCTGTCTGCCCGGGGGTAATACAACCGTATATGAAATCGTGAGAATGCATTTTGGTACCGTAGGTTGAACAACAGGGATGGGACTTCTCTATGACCTAGGCCCTACTATATCCACGGGATTTTGTTACGGTATCAGACCATTTTACTCTGAAATGAACCATAGGGGCCTGACTGATCCCAATGTAGCGTATTTTCCTAAGATGCGCATCTTCTGGTTCCACTTCCTGTTTACACATCGTGTTACACATCCCGGTACACCGTCACTGATGACCACAGCTAGTGCAGGCGAGCGGCTTTCCCATAGGCATGGCGAGGGCGATTGATGAGCTGCAGTAGGCTGTACACCCAGCGGTCCAGCATGCCTGGGGGAGGGAAGGGATGGGCAAGCGCAGGGAGAACACGGGTGAGCGAGAGGGACAGAACGACATGGTACTTTGCAGAGTAGCATGGGAGGGCAGGGACGAGGGCGATTGACAAGGTGTGGCAGGCTGTGCACCCACTTAGCGATCCAGCATGCCTGGTGGGGGGAATAGGAGGGGGACAGGGTGGCCAGGTCAGGGAGGTGCAGGGCGAGAGGGAGGGAAAGGGCATAATACTTGAAGGAGGGCATGAGACAGGAGGCGCAGCAGCAGGCTGTGCACGCACTTAGCGATCCAGCATGCCTGTGGGGGGGCGAGATCCCCAAGGCAGGAAGACAACGGGTTTTGAGTCAAATTTAACCTGATCCTTTCCCACCTGTGCGTCCCACCCAGCTGTGAGCGCAAATGTGCCACCCAGCACAGCACACAGGTGTGTGAGGAAATGGAGGGGCCAAGGAGGACAAGAGCACAAGGGGCAGAGGAGGACAAGAGCCAAACATGCCTGAACCGTGCCTGGTTGAATCATGCCTGTCTCAATCATGCCTGGCTGAATCATGCCTGGCTGAAACTTGCCATTCTGAATCATGCCTGGCTGAATCATGCCTGGCTGAATCATGCCTGGATGAATCATGCCTGGCTGAATCATGACTGGCTGAATCATGCCTGGCTGAATCATGCCATTCTGAATCATGCCTCGCTGAATTATGCCAGGCCGAATCATGCCAGGCTGACTCGTTCCTGGCTGAATTATGCCTGGCTGAATCATGCCTTGATGAATCATTCCAGGCTGAATCATGCCTGGCTGAATCATGCCTGGATTAATCATGCCTGGCTGAATCATTCCAGGCTGAATCATGCCTGGATGAATCATGCCAGGCTGAATCATGCCTGGCTGAATCATGCCAGGCAGAATCATGCTATGCTGAATCATGCCAGGCTGAATCATGCCAGGCAGAATCATGCTAGACTGAATCATGCCTGGCTGAATGGCTGAATCATGCCTGGATGAATCATGCCTGGCTGAATCATGCCTGGATGAATCATGCCAGGCTGAATCATGCCAGGCTGAATCATGCCTGGCTGAATCATGCCAGGCTGAATCATGCCTGGCTGAATCATGCCTGGATGAATCACGCCAGGCTGAATTATGCCTGGATGAATCATGCCAGGCTGAATCATGCCAGGCTGAATCATGCTAGGCTGATTCATTCCTGGCTTAATCATGCCTGGCTGAATCATGCCTGCCTGAATCATACCTCGCTGAATCATGCCTGGCTGAATCATGCCTGGCTGAATTATGCCGGGCTGGATCATGCTAGGCTGAATCATGCCAGGCTGAATCATGCTAGACTGAATCATGACAGGCTGAATTATACCAGGCTGAATCATACCAGGCTGAATTATGCCTGGCTGAATCATACCAGGCTGTAACATGCCAGGCTGAATCATGCCAGTCTGAATCATGCCTGGCTGAAAAACTGAATCATGCCTGGATGAATCATGCCTGGCTGGATCATGCTAGGCTGAATCATGCCTGGCTGGATCATGCTAGGCTGAATCATGCTAGGCTGAATCATTCCAGGCTGAATCATGCCAGGCTGAATCATGCCTGGCTGAATCATGCCTCGCTGAATTATGTCTGGCTGAATCATGCCTGGCTGGATCATGCTAGGCTGAATCATGCTAGGCTGAATCATTCCAGGCTGAATCATGCCAGGCTGAATCATGCTAGGCTGAATCATTCCAGGCTGAATCATGCCTGGCTGAATCATGCCTCACTGAATTATGTCTGGCTGAATCATGCCTGGCTGAATCATTCCTGGATGAATCATGCCTGGCTGAATCATGCCAAGATGAATCATAACAGGCTGGATCATGCCAGGCTGGATCATGCTAGGCTGAATCATGCCAGGCTGAATCATGCTAGGCTGAATCATGCCAGGCTGAATCATGCCAGGCTGAATCATGCCTGGCTGAATCATGCCTGGATGAATCATGCTAGGCTGAATCATGCCAGGCTGAATCATGCCGGGCTGAATCATTCCAGGTTGAATCATGCCAGGCTGAATCATTCCTGGCTGAATCATGCCTGGATGAATCATGCCAGGCTGAATCATGCCTGGCTGAATCATGCCAGGCAGAATCATGCTATGCTGAATCATGCCAGGCTGAATCATGCCAGGCTGAATCATACTAGACTGAATCATGCCTGGCTGAATGGCTGAATCATGCCTGGATGAATCATGCCTGGCTGAATCATGCCTGGATGAATCATGCCAGGCTGAATCATGCCAGGCTGAATCATGCCTGGCTGAATCATGCCAGGCTGAATCATGCCTGGCTGAATCATGCCTGGATGAATCACGCCAGGCTGAATTATGCCTGGATGAATCATGCCAGGCTGAATCATGCCAGGCTGAATCATGCTAGGCTGAATCATGCCAGGCTGAATCATGCCTGGCTGAATCATGCCTGGCTGAATCATTCCAGGCTGAATCATGCCTGGATGAATCATGCCTGGCTGAATTATGCCAGGCTGGATCATGCTAGGCTGAATCATGCCAGGCTGAATCATGCTAGACTGAATCATGACAGGCTGAATTATACCAGGCTGAATCATACCAGGCTGAATATGCCTGGCTGAATCATACCAGGCTGTAACATGCCAGGCTGAATCATGCCAGTCTGAATCATGCCTGGCTGAAAAACTGAATCATGCCTGGATGAATCATGCCTGGCTGGATCATGCTAGGCTGAATCATGCCTGGCTGGATCATGCTAGGCTGAATCATGCTAGGCTGAATCATTCCAGGCTGAATCATGCCAGGCTGAATCATGCCTGGCTGAATCATGCCTCGCTGAATTATGTCTGGCTGAATCATGCCTGGCTGGATCATGCTAGGCTGAATCATGCCAGGCTGAATCATGCCAGGCTGAATCATGCTAGGCTGAATCATTCCAGGCTGAATCATGCCTGGCTGAATCATGCCTCACTGAATAATGTCTGGCTGAATCATGCCTGGCTGAATCATTCCTGGATGAATCATGCCTGGCTGAATCATGCCAAGATGAATCATAACAGGCTGGATCATGCCAGGCTGGATCATGCTAGGCTGAATCATGCCAGGCTGAATCATGCTAGGCTGAATCATGCCAGGCTGAATCATGCCAAGCTGAATCATGCCTGGCTGAATCATGCCTGGATGAATCATGCTAGGCTGAATCATGCCAGGCTGAATCATGCCGGGCTGAATCATTCCAGGTTGAATCATGCCAGGCTGAATCATTCCTGGCTGAATCATGCCTGGATGAAACTTGCCATTCTGAATCATGCCTGGCTGAATCATGCCTGGATGAATCATGCCAGGCTGAATCATGCCTGGCTGAATCATTCCTGGCTGAATCATGCCTGGCTGAATCATGCTTGGCTGAACCATGCCTGGCCGAACCATGCCTGGCTGAATCATGCCTGGCTGAATCATGCCGGGCTGAAACTTGCCATTCTGAATCATGCCTGGCTGAATCATGCCTGGCTGAATCAAGCCTTGCTGAATCATGCCTGGATGAGTCATGCCTGGCTGATTCATGCTTAGCTGAATCATGCCTGCCTGAATTGAGCCTGGTTGAATCATGCCTGTCTCAATCATGCCTTGCTGAATCATGCCAGTCTGAAACTTGCCATTCTGAATCATACTTGGCTAATCATGCCTGGCTGAATCATGCCTGCCTGAACCGTGCCTGGCTGAATCATGCCTGGATGAATCATGCCTGGCTGAAACATGTCATTCTGAATCATTCCTGGCTGTATTAAGGCTGGTTGAATCATGCCTGGTTGAATCATGCTTGGTTGAGTCATGCCTGGCTGAATCATGCCCGGTTTGATCAAGCCTGGTGAATCATGCCTGGCTGAATCATGCCATTCTGAATCATGCCTGGCTGAATCATGCCTAGCTGAATCATGCCTTCCTGAATCATGCCTGATTGAATCATGCCTGACTAAATCATGCCTGGCTAATTCATCCCTAGCTGAATAATGCCAGGCTGAATCATGCCCGGCTGAATCATGCCTGGCTGAATCATGCCTGGTTGAATCATGCCTGGTTGAATCATGCCTGGCTGAATCATGCCTGGCTGAATCATGCCTGGCTGAATCATGCCTGGCTGAATCACGCCAGGCTAAATCATGCCTGGCTGAATCATGCCTGGCTGATTCATTCCTGGCTTAATCATGCCTGGCTGAATCATGCCTGGCTGAATCATGCCTGGCTCAATCATGCCAGCCTGAATCATGCTTGGCTTAATCATGCCTGGCTGAATTATGCCTGGCTCAATCATGCCTCTTTCAATCATGCCTGGCTGAATCATGCCTGGCTCAATCATGCCTGGCTGAATCATGCCTGGCTGAATCATGCCTGGCTGAATCACGCTAGGCTAAATCATGCCTGGCTGAATCATGCCTGGCTGATTCATTCCTGGCTTAATCATGCCTGGCTGAATCATGCCTGGCTGAATCATGCCTCGCTCAATCATGCCAGCCTGAATCATGCTTGGCTTAATCATGCCTGGCTGAATTATGCCTGGCTGAAACATGACTGGCTGAATTATGCCTGGCTGAAACATGCCATTCTGAATCATGACTGGCTGAATCATGCCTGGCTGAATCATGCTTGGTTGAATCATGCTTGGTTGAGTCATGCCTGGCTGAATCATGCCTGGTTGAATCATGCCTAGCTGAATCATGCCTGGTTTAATCAAGCCTAGTGAATCATGCCTGGCTGAATCATGCCATTCAGAATCATGCCTGGCTGGCTGAATCATGCCTAGCTGAATCATGCCTGCCTGAATCATGCCTGATTGAATCATGCCTGACTAAATCATGCCTGGCTAATTCATGCATGGCTGAATAATGCCTGGCTGAATCATGCCTGGCTGAATCATGCCTGGCTGAATCATGCCTGGCTGAATCATGCCTGGTTGTACCATGCCTTCTGAATCATGCCTGGCTGAATCATGCCTGGCTGAATCATGCCTGGCTGAATCATGCCTGGCTGAATCATGCCTGGCTGAATCATGCATGGCTCAATCATGCCTGGCTCAATCATGCCTGGCTGAATCATGCCTGGCTCAATCATGCCTGGCTGAATCATGCCTGGCTGAATCATGCCTGGCTGAATCATGCCTGGCTGAAACATGCCATTCTGAATCATGCCTGGCTGAAACATGCCATTATGAATCATGCCTGGCTGAATCATGCCTGCATGGATCATGCATGGCTGAATCTTGCCATTCTGAATCATGCCTGGCTGAATCATGCCTAGCTGAATCATGCATGGATGAATCATGCCCTTCTGAATCATGCCTGCCTGAATCATGCCTGATTGAATCATGCCTGACTAATTCATGCCTAGCTACTTCATGCCTGGCTGAATAATGCCATGTCTGAATAGTGACTGGCTGAATCATGCCTGGCTGAATCATGCCTAGCTGAACCATGCATGGCTGAATCATGCCTGGCTGAATCATGCCTGGCTGAATCATGCCTGGCTGAATCATGCCTGGCTGAATCATGCCTGGTTGAATCATGCCTGGCTGAATCATGCCTGGCTGAATCATGCCTGGCTGAATCGAGCCTGGCTGAATCATGCCTGGCTGAATCATGCCTGGCTGAATCATGCCTGGCTGATTCATTCCTGGCTTAATCATGCCTGGCTGAATCATGCCTGCCTGAATCATACCTCGCTGAATCATGCCTGGCTGAATCATGCCTGGCTGAATCATGCCTGCCTGAATCATGCCTGGCTGAATCATGCCTGGCTGAATCATGCCTGGCTAATTCATGTCTGGCTGAATCATTCCTGGCTGAATCATGCCTGGCTGGATCATGCCTGCCTGAATCATGCCAGGCTGAATCATGCCCGCCTGAATTATGCATCTCGGAATCATACCTCGCTGAATCATGCCTGCCTGGCTGATTCATGCCTGGCTGATTCATGCCTGGCTGAATCATGCCTGGCTGAATCATGCCTACTTGAATCATGCCTGCCTGATTCATGCCAGGCTGAATCATGCCCGCCTGAATTATGCCTCTCTGAATCATGCCTGGCTGAAACATACCTCGCTGAATCATGCCTGGCTGAATCATGCCTCTATGAATCGCCTGCCTGGCTGATTAATGCCTGGCTTAATCATGCCTGGCTGAATCATGCCTGCCTGAATTATACCTCGCTGAATCATGCCTGCCTGAATCATGCCTGCCTGAATCATGCCTGCCTGAACCATGCCTGGCTGAATCATGCCTCGCTGAATCATGCATGCATGGCTGAATCATGCCTCGCTGAATCATGCCCGCCTAAATCATGCCTGGCTGAATCATGCCTCGCTGAATCATGCCTGGCTCAAAATTTCCTAGCTGAATCATGCCAGGCTGAATCTTGCCTGGCTGAATCAAGCCTGGCTGAATCATGAATGGCTGAATCATGCCTGCCTGAATCATGCCTGGCTGAATCATGCCTCGCTGAATCATGCCTGGCTGAATCATGCCTCGCTGATTCATGCCTGGCTGAATCATGCCTGGCTGAATCATGCCTGGCTGAATCATGCCTGGCTGATTCATGCCTGGCTGAATCATGCCTGGCTGATTCATGCCTGGCTGAATCATGCCTGGCTGAATCATGCCTGGCTGAATCATGCCTGGCTGATTCATGCCTGGCTGAATCATTCCTGGCTGAATCATGCCTGGCTGAATCATGCCTGGCTGAAATTTTCCTGGCTGAATCATGCCTAGCTGAATCATGCCAGGCTGAATCAAGCCTGGCTGAATCATGCCTGGCCGAAGCATGCCTGTCTAGCATGTGAGACAGGGGACGGGTAGGGGCAGAGGTGAAGGAGATCGGGTAGGGGCAGAGGTGAAGGAGAACGGGTAGGGGCAGAGGTGAAGGAGAAAGGGTAGGGGCAGAGGTGAAGGAGAACGGGTAGGGGCAGAGGTGAAGGAGAACGGGTAGGGGCAGAGGTGAAGGAGAAAGGGTAGGGGCAGAGGTGAAGGAGAAACGGGTAGGGGCAGAGGTGAAGGAGAACGGGTAGGGGCAGAGGTGAAGGAGAACGGGTAGGGGCAGAGGTGAAGGAGAACGGGTAGGGGCAGAGGTGAAGGTGACCTGGAGGGCACAAATCGGAAGGTGGGGGATGCAATATGAGCTGACAAGGAAGTCTGAAAGGCGGGAGAGTCAAGTGGAGCAAGGTCCCAGACACCATAAGCAGTTGAAGTGAGACGGCGCTGGGAGATGCTGGAGTGGATGAGTGATTTTCCGACACACGCCAGTCTAGGTTCTTGCATTACATGGTGCAGGTGGGTGAGGTGTGCAGGGCTAGGCGTGTTAGGCATGCCAGTCAAGCTTCTTGCACTACATGGTGAAGGTCTGTGAGGTGTGCCGGGCTAGGTGTCTTAGGCATGCCATGTCAGTCAATGTTCTTGCATTCACACGGTCCAGGTTGGTGGGCTGTGCCTTTCACACATGTAAGAAGCTGCTCTCTATCTTCCACCGTACCCTCTGTCCTGCCCTACCCTCATCATAGCATTCACCCACCGTCCTATATCAATTGTGGGCTGCAAGACCCTTCCCAAATTCATCACATCTCTCGCAGGTCTCAAAGTTTTAGGGACCTTGGTCCGATCTTTCGTAAGAGAAGCTGATTTTTTACTACGGTAGTCATTTTAGGTTGCTGTGTGACTTATGGGGTTGGGGTTGTCGTACAACTCGGCTTTTTGGGGTTACGGACCAGAGTTACTTTTGAGCGTTTTTATACCTTTTTTTTTTTAATGTCTCCGTTCAGAGAATGGCCTTCGTAGACATGCATTTTGAGACACCTTTTCGGGAATCTGCATTGTATGACATGCATTCTCAGACATGCATTCCGAGGCATCATTCCGAGGCCTCAGAAGTCATCAAAACTAAGTTTGTCAGAAAGCTAACTCATGGAAACAAATACCCCGTACATGCCATGCACATCTACATCTCGGATGCTGCCCTGATCATCCAACACTTTGTCACACCCGGACACATCCAACCAATGAAGCATCTTCAGCTCTGTCAGATCTTCCGGAAGGCCTTCCAGCTGCCCACAGCCATCCAAGTCTAGCTTCCTGAGCCTCGTCAGGTGTGCGAAGCCAGGAGGTAGGGAGCGGATAGCGGTGCTGCTGAGGTTCAGTTTGTGGAGGCAGGACAGCCGGGTGAGAGACGCAGGGAGGTGCGTGAGAGCAGAGCAGTTGGAGAGGTTGAGCTCGCGCAGTCTGGATAAGGCACCGATGTGATCAGGGAGGGACGAGAGGTTGGGAGCATGCACTACTATAGATGTCAGCGAATGGAGCTTGGTGAAAGTTGCTGGCAGCGTCGTCAACTCTTCAGCCTGCTGTATGTGCAGCTGCCTCAGCTGCTGCAGGGTCCATCCCATGTCATCCGGAAGTGCCTGCATGCGGCCAGCACTTTGGATGGTCAGCGTGCGGAGGTTGGGGCAGAATGCGAGGGGTAGCGGCAGCTCCTCTGCCTCCCCTGCCAGATGCACCTCCAGATCCTCCAGAGAGGGCAGAATGGAAGAAACGGCAGCGTCCTCCAGCGTCCCAGATCCCCTGCCCAGCAAATCAGCGCCACTGATAACGCCAACACAAATCAGGGTCAGCTTCTTGAGCCGGGGCAGAGGAGGGATCTGCAGGTGAGGGGTGAGGCGAAGCCAGGTCCCCAGGGTGAGAACCTCAAGGGAACGTAGGAGGGATCTGCACACTTGCATCAGCTGCGGGGACTTGCCGAGTGAAAGCTCTCTCACCCGCCCAAGGCTGCTCAAGCTCCTGGGAATGGACGCAAGGCTGCTGCAGAAATTAACCACTAGAATCTCTACCCTCCCAAGGTCGGTAACAAACTCTGGGATTTCCCGGATGTTAGGGCAGTGGTGGATGCACAACTCCCGCAGGCTCCTCAGCTTCCCGATCCCCCCTGGAATCACTTCTATCTCGCATTGACCGACTTCAAGGCTTGTCAGCGACGACAGCTCCCCGAGGCCCTCTGGAAGCTCCGCAATGGCGCACAGGCGCACGCTCAGGCTGGTCAGGGAACGTGAACGACGGTGGCAGCCGCTGCTGGGCGCGATTCTCGCTCAGGTGGAACACGCGGAGGCTGGCCAGCCGTCCGATGTCTCTTCCCGATGCAGAGGGACGTGAGAGCCGTCAGATTTCCGAATCCTGGAGGGAGGTCCCGGAGGGCCTTGCAGCAGGCCAGGTTTAGGGTTTCCAGGGATGTGAGCTGGGGGAAAGAAGCGGAGAGATCCGTGAGGTGCATGAGGAACAGTGACAGTGACGTGAGCGCGGGCAGCTCTCCGAAGTTTTCGGGCAGGCTGACAATGTTGCAGTGGGCGATGGACAGCGTGTGCAGGCAGGTCAGGGAGGCGAACCCGTGAGGTAACTCGGATAGGTTTTCGCATTTTCGGATGCTAAGCTCCCGCAGGCGCGGCAGCAGGTCTCCGATCTCGTCCGGAAGTCTCTCAAGCCCGTTGCAATCGCGGAGAAGCAGTCGCTCGAGACGGCTGCACGACGAATCTCGCGGAAACATGAGGTCGAACCGCGGGCTGATGTGATCGAGCTCCAGCGACTTGAGACACCGCAGCTGCGCGAACGAGAAGGCGTCATCGGCGCCCTCTTCCCGCTCCGGTATAAACAGCCGCGTTTCGTTGCAGCAGGAGAGGGTGGTGAGCGCCGGGAGATGCGCGAGGCCCCACGGGGTCGGATCGTCCTGAGGGTTGGTGTCGACGGACAGAGCGGCGAGCGACGAGAGACGCGAGAGCTCCGAGGACTCGAGCACGGAGCTGTCGGCGAGAGCCAGCGCTTGCAGCTTCGTGAGGTGAAAGAACGCATCGGGTAGCTTGGCGGCTCCGTGCAGGCAGTAGAGCGAGAGGTGCTGCAGCTGCGTGCAGCGACGCAGGAGATGGTCCAAGCCGGCTTCGGTCACTGGGTGGTCTTCCTCATCGCGGAAAAGGCGAGAGGCGGTTTTTGAAGTCTTTAGGTTTTTCTACCAAAACTCATACAATAAGTCACAGAGTGCTTCGTAAAAGTCCCAAACTTGAGTCACAAAAATGTCACATGTGTTGCGGTAGTCCAGGGTTGTCTCGCGGTCCGCTCAAAGACGTGCTCACATCACGAATCGAAAATTCTGGTCGTGTCGCAATGTGCGCCCCGTCCAGAAAGACTCCAATTGGTGCACGAATTCACGTCCACGAAGGGAATGCGCGTGTAACATGAGCACGAAAGACGCATTTCTTGCAAGCTTGGGGTCGAAAACGGTTGAAAGCGTTTTCAGGCGGTGCACCAGAGCCACGTCAGGAGGACTTTTCGAACCCAAGCCACGAAACAGTTCACAGGAATACGCGAGCATTCGCGAACTAAAACGATAGCAACAAACCGGGGCTACCGAAGTCGCAAAACTCGCAAACACGAAAACGAACAGAATCTGTTGTGTCCACGGGTCATTCTAGGAACTGACGTGGATGTACCTACCAATCCGCGTTCGGCCCAGCACCACCTCCCAACGAAGGCGCACCACGTCATCGACTATCAACTGTCAAACCTAGCCGTATGCTAGGTTCAAACCCACTCACCTCACGAATTCATTCCAACCAATCACAATGGCGCATAAAATCAGAATCAACACACTCGAGCCTCCCTTATCCACACATCAGGAAACGGAACCAAACCTCACTAGTCGAACCAACCTTTTCCTCCCCGCCCTCCTTTCCCCTCCACTCTCCCCCCTCCCCTTTGCTTGCAGCCCTCTAGCGTACAAACCTTCTCTGTGTCATTGTTCTTCAAACCTTACCCGTTCAGACACTAGCTCGTCTCCCGAAGCTTCTGCCATCCTCACGTGCTCTAGGGTTTAGGACTTCCATGCGATGTGTTAGCAAATGTCGCCATTGTCGGAATTTTACGTCCAACCCCGCTGCTAGCAATCTCTGAATCTACCCCGCAGTGCAGGTCCCTACACTTCCCGTCCCTATTGTTTCTGGTTTTCTGAAGTTACTCCCATTTGCGTCTCACTCTAAATATACCCCATACCCCCCCTTCCGCCCTGCCCTCATAACCTCCCACCCAGGTAGTTCATTTTCGCATCACCTTAACCAACCTCCGCACGCCTAGCGTAAAAAATCGACCGCGCGGTCAGTCGTTTTGGATGACAGAAGAGGTCAGTGCGCAGTGAAGTGGTTGCTCGCGCGTTGACAGTACTCTCGTTTCCCCTTTTGCAACGCTGTGTTAGCCAGTATGTGTTAGCTAGCACCCTCGTCAACGCTCCCCGTTGTTTCCCCTCGTCTCAGTTCTCCCTCTCTCCCATATTGTGTTCATTTCTCTCTGCGTGGCAGTTCGCAAATCTGCCTTAGGTGCGGTCGCACCGACCTCCGTTGATCGTGGTGCGGAAAAGGCGCATTGCGATCGTAGTCATCACCGCGTAGGAGCCAGTCGTTTATGTGTGCGTTTTAGGCAAGGCTTGGTTGTTTCACCATCGGCCTGACCGTGGCCTTGTTATTCTAATCATCGTGTGAATCGCAGGTGTGCGAATGTGCAACGACATGGAGCTGCGGGAGCAGATTGCAGCACTCGCCGATTCGTGCATTCAGTCGAAGCGGATTGTTGTATTTCGGTAGTAGTGCGCGCTTTGTTTCGCTATGCTTTCTCCACTTGCTGATGTTAACCTCACCTAACCATGCTTGTGTATCTCATGTAATCGAAATACTTTTGCAGGTTTCAATGTTTTTTATTATTTAGCAGGTGTCATCAGGTTCCGGACGACATATGGCCTACATATAGGTCGGACATTGGCCTAGACAAACGACGATGTTTCTAGCTAGGCGTTGTAGACTTGTTCGTAGATGTGCAATTGTATCCATGTATGCATGTGTGACTAATAAAACAAATTCGAGTTGCCTTACGAGCTTTAACTGGTGAAATTTATATGCAGTACGGAATGCAATAATTCGTGCGACGCGGGGTACCTGTTCAGAATCGCTGGCCAATCAGAACCCGCTTTTGCACCCCCGTCGCTGACATTTGATTGGTCCCTTTCGTCCAATCACCAACATGTACACTTGAGAAAATATCTGGAAAGATGAAACGCGGTTTGTCCACGTGGCATGTAACAGAAAAGTGACGAGAACATCACTTCGCCTGTGACTTTCTGTACGAGATCTCGCAAGTTTTCCGTGACATTTCCGTGACTTTTCCGTGACCCCATTTCTTGGCACTTCCATCCATGACATTTTTGTCCCAGGAAGTGTGTACAAAAATGTGACGGAAAAGTCACATTGACGTCACTTTCCGCACTTGTCATTTCCGCGATGCTCCCTCTCCCAGTCCATCATCGTGATCTCGTTCCCCACATGCAGAGCCTTGAGCTTCGGACATGACGAGGCGATATGAACAAGGAGCGCGTCGTCGATGTTTTCGATGCTGCCGTCCGAGAGGTGCAGGCGGGTGAGGTTCGGGAAGCAGCGGATGGCGTTTTTCAGATCTTGGCGCGACACGTCGCGGTTCTCGTTCACCAGGAGCGTCGCGACGTGGAGCTGAGCGAGGCGGCGCCATCGGCGGCATACGGATGTGATGAGAAGACTAAACACGGCGTCTGCGGAAGCCGGAGGAGGCGCTAACGGGCTGTCGGTTTGCTGCTGAAGGGGCTCGTCACCGTACGGATGTTGGGAGGTGTATGTGGGCCGAGGCTCCACGGATGCCCATATTTTGCTGCTTGCGGATTTGCGAGACGCGGCCGGCTGGGAGTGTAATATGATCCTCACAAGGAGGTCGTCTGACAGAACGTTAATGTTGCTCGAATGCGGCATTGCAGTCCAGTGAAAGCACTGTCAAACATAACCTGGTGCTGAACCTTCTAATCCTGTCTACTCCTGCACACTTGCTGCACTGAAAAGAAGATGCTCTTGTGATGACGTATCGCCTGTTAACTCTTACCGAAGCTTTATTTCTCACGCTTTGAAACTCACGAAGCTTGCGATCGCTTTGTAATCTGTATTCATCAGGAACGCCTCCACTGGGCTCCATAAAAACTCCATCCAGTTCGATCGAGGCTCATCTTGAAATCGCGGGAAGGGCTCAGCTACGAAGGTTGGGTTTGTGAGGGTCGTGCGATTTTGTTTTCGCACCCTTTGATGGAAACCTGTCGCCAGGCAATGTAGTGAAGCTGTTTTCGCGTTCGTGCACGCATTTGCGAGACAAAACGCGCCTCGTCAGACAACTTGGAAGTCTCCCCGCTCCAAATTGAACGATTCGAATTTGGTACAGAATGGCGGGACGCTCGAAGGTTGGAGGGGATTCGGAAGGGCTTGGCTTTCCGCCATATAAACACATCCAATACCTGTTTTGGTGCTGTTTGTCTTGTCGTTCACTCACTACGGCCCAAAAGTTGATGGTCGATTTTAGGACGCGGTCAAAGTGGAGAATCGATCGCCTCAGGATCGTTTTTTAGCGCGGCTATAAACGGTTGTGTACGTTTCGTATGCAAAATGCAGGACTTAAGGGCGGTGACCGGATCGATTCCCCGATCGAGCACTTTTACCGCGTCCTAGTTTGGGAAGTGTCAAACTTGTGATAGGGGAGGGTTGAAGCACCTCAAGGTGCTGGTGGGGTGGAACGGGATACTGAGAGCGTGTACAAGAGCAAATGCATCGAGTACATTGGGGAGTTCAGGCCAGCCTTGCTCGAAGTGAAATCGAGGTGGCAAACCTTCGCTGGCTTGTATCAC